ATAATAATAATAATGAAAATAATGAAAATAATGAAAATGAATTTCTGGCCCTTCCCTGGATTGTCCTTATCCGGCACGGCAAGACCGGCCCTTCTGCCCATTGGCTGAATTGCCGGGAAGCCGCCGCAGCCGGGTGAGGAGTTTCCCAGGAGAGAGATGAGCAGGCTCCCCCGGGCCGGGCAGCGATCGTTCAGGGCCTGATGAGGAATGATCGGAAATCAGATATTTTCCCGCAAGAGGCTCCGGGGCTCCCGGCCTGTGAGCGTCGCCTGCCCGAAGAATGCCGGCCCTGCCTGCCCTCCGCCTCTGCCCGGCGAGCGAATCTAAGGGCTCCCTCTCCATCCCTGCCTTCGCAAGGCAACAAAACAATTTTAGTGATCCTGGTTAACCCGCATTCTCCCCCCCCCGTAGGGAGGAGGCGCAGAGCCGATTCTCCGGCTTTAGCTGAGATGCGGCGTCTATGATGCCGCAGTCAGGAGACCCCTGCGCGAGTGTCCCTGCTAGGAAACGAAGCCGCCTTGAAAGGACACTGAGAGGATGAAATTGGGGGCGGGGGGGCGGCGACCAGACACTCTGAGCTTCGTGAGGAGCGTCCTGCCACATGCCACAAGTCTTTCACTCTCGCGAGGTTGGGCAAGCCCAAACTTCGTGTGAAATGTCCCCTCTAATTCTCTATATTTCAGCCGGGATAATTTTAAAACCAGTGTTTTCTTTAAAGTCCCGGGGCTTTTGAGAACCACCAGAATCCCCCCGTTTACTGGCAGAACCGGGCCACGCGCAAATTCAATCGCAGAGTTTAGAATAAATGAAAGCAGGAGAAAGCCCAACCAGGCCAACGCGTGTCTGTTTGTCTGTTTGTTTTCAATCCAGTTTTCTCTCCCTTTCAAAGAGAACCTCCATGTTCAGAGGCAACATCCAGATCGTGGGAGCCTCTCTTCTCTATGCCTTGCTTCCGAGCTTCCCCGAGGCTTACCGCCCTCGGAGACGGAGTACTGGGCTCGCGGGCCCAGGCGAGGCAACCGGGGACCGAGAACCAAGGCGAAGGTGCCCCCGAGGAAGGGGGCGGGGGAGACGAGCTCGAAGCAGAGGGAGAGACCCCCTGGGCTTACCTTTGTATTCCGAGTCCGAAGACGAGTTACTGCTGCTTTTGTCGACCTTGTCTCGGAAATCCTCCCCGGCCTTGGCCGGGATTCGAACCGGCGCCTCCTGCGCGCTCTGTCCGTTGGTGCTGGAGTAAGGGGCGCAGGCCGCCAAAGGTTTGCAGTCGGCCAAAATGTCCCTGATTAAAAAGGAGGAAGTCACCGTCCTGGATTGGGACGGGGCGGAGATCTGTCCGGCTTGGAGGTGCGACTCCAGGGCCGCCGCCACGCCTTGCCGCTGCGCCTCCAGGCAGTCCCGCCCGGGCGAGTGGGGAGACGGGCAGCCGCTGCTGATCTCCGAGCCGGGGCTTAGTTCCAAAGGGGACCGGCACTCCCCCATCAGCGGGTCTCCCTTGGGCGCGGCCGGGCTCCCCGGCCGGTGGGAAAGGAGGGACTCGATCCCAAATCCGTTGGAGCCTTCCATGTCTCTCTCAGGAGGGCATCGGCCGGCAGTCCGGGTCAGGCTGGCGGGAGGGTCCGGAGGGAGGGAGTCGGCGAGCAGTCCCGGGGTTGGTAGTCCGCATGAAGATCCAGCCGCGCGGTCTGCCTTGTTGGCCGTCAGCACCCGAGCCGGCTGCGGGCGAGAGAGGAAGGGAGCGGCGGGGGGGTGGGGTGGGGAGAAGAAAAGGGAGGAAAGAGAGGGAGGGAAGTCAAACTTTGCTTTCAGACGAGCCCCCGGATCAATCCCCCCTCCACCCCGCGGCCTACGATAAACCCTTCGGCCTCGCAGAAATAATCCATGGTTTGGGGGAGGCGGGATCAGGGAGCCGGGCAGGGAAGAAGAGGGGAGCGGGCGCCAAGTTCTTCCGCGGGGAAGCGGGCGGACCAGGAGTGGTGGAGGCGGCGGAATCGGCGGCGCATTCAGGACCTTGGACAGAGCACGCGGTCGCGGGAACGGCGGGGATGCAGCGCCCTTTCCCCCCAAGCCCAAAAGCGCGACTGGGGGGGGGGGGCGACGACAACAGGCAGGAAAAGCTCAGCGACCCCCGTGAAGCGACGAAAATGTCAGCACCTTTGGAAGAGTCCCCGCAAGCCCGAGGACACCTCCGCCCTCAGCCCCGCCCGCCGCGGCTGCCCTTCCCAGATTCTCGCGTCGGGTTTTGGGTGTGTGTGGGTTTTTTTTTTTAAAGCACCCCTCAACTTGCGTCGCTTTAGTTTGGAATTTCTTCCTCTCCGTCCTCCTCTATCTCCCCTCCCCAAGATCCCGAGCCCACGTGCCTCACAACCCCCCTCCTGATTGGCCGGAGAGCTTTTAGGGTGATGTCACACGCGCCGCACACTGACTAAGGAAACTTGATCTCTCCTCGGTTTGATTAAAAGAGACACTGAATTAATTACAGCCTAGATCCAACTGTTAACAGGCAATTTCCACCCTGTTTCCTTTCATTACGCCACTGATGAAGTTCTAAATGGGTTTATTAGGCAGACGGGGGGGGGGGGGCGGGGGAACCTTTGGGGGCTGTGCTTTTGTGGGTGCCTTTCCGGACGATCTTCTCTCGTGTTCGCAATTAGGTGTGTCGTTGTCTCCCTTGATGGTGAAGAGAGAAGATTTTGTTTTCCTCGAAAGGAATTCATCGCAGAGGGCTTTTTTTTTTTAAGCGGGAAAGTTTGACTATATAGAGGCCAAAGAAAGAATGGAAAACGTTTTTGTAATTTATATATTATTCTAATAGGAATATATTTTTCTAATTTATATATTATTCTAATATTAGTAGATAGCTAATTGGTCAGCGTTGTTTTATTTTTAAGAATGTTAATCTTTTCGGGAAAAGTTAATTTCTGTCTTGGGTTTTGATTTCTGTCACTTTTATCCGGCCTAATTTTGAAATGTGGTGTGGAATCACACTACTGAATATTAAAAGATAAGTCACTAAACAGATATTTTGGAGGCCTCTGTGCAAACCGCTAGAGGAAGAACGCTGAAAACTAGATTCCCAGGACACACTTAGACAGAAGTAAGTCTCACAGACAGCTTGTATGAGATTGGGCTGGAAATGTATAGGTAAGGGGAGGTGGGATGAATATATAACACGAAAGGAAGCCACCCGTTCAGGAAACGAATTATTTTGAGCGGAAATTCGAAAGAAGCGCATCCTCCCGCTAGTGAGAGCGAATAGCAACTACATAAAGGCAAATAATGTGTTTATTTCCTGAATCCATACACAGTTTTGTTGGGGGGGGGGAGCCCTAGACAGCAGGGAGCAGTGGAATTTATATTCCCCCCCCCCCAAGCATTCTAAAGACATAACACTTTAGGAAAGTCAGGCTTTCAGTGGAACGCACTGCTGGGGAGAGGGTCTCCAGCACAAACGAAAGCTTCCTGTTTTAATGGCGACTGAGTCGCAGGGCAGGATCCAAAGCCAGACATCAATGCCACTGAAGCCAATAGGGCTGACTAGGAGGTAAAGAGTCGACGCTGAGCTATAGGAAAGTAGACGGACTGTGTGACTTGTCTATGGTCCGTTTTGCGGTGCTTTTGGGGTTTTTTTTCTTCTCTTTTTCTTTTTTAATGTGCCGTTTGAGTTCATCTTTCTTTCAGGATCGAGGACACTCAAACCATCAATCTCCTTAGTCGCCGGGGAATTGGACTAAAATGCCGACCTCCAACAGGCCAGCGATGGAAGAGACGCAGGGAGACTTCCAAAGGCAGGTAACACACACACACACACACACACACAAACACACACACACACGTAATATTTCAGAAGCCGGAGCTTTCCCTCTGCTTTTCTTCTGTCTCTCCCCTAAATCTCCCCCCCCCCCAGACATTCTCTCAGGAAATGTTACTTACTAATTCTTAAGGGAACGATAATGACAGATAGTCTCAAAAGAAAGGAGCGAGATAAAGTGGATTTAAATCCTTGGGGCTGGTTTGAAAAAGGCAAGGAAGGATTCGATTTCAGGGGAAACTGACACGATCCCGGAAGGAGCCGCCACGTCGTGGTTTTCCTCTGGTGTCTCTTTCCCATCAACGTGGTTTCCGGCTTACGGTCTGATCCTGTTCAGAGTTACTCGGGGAAGTAAAGCTCCCTAAAACCCTACTCCTTAGTGCGCGCGCGCGCGCGCTACCATCGCAGCCTCAGCCTCCCAAAGAAAAGCGCTGACCCAAACTTTCGGTTCGCTAGTCCGATGGCGTTTACTCGTAAGCCTCTCCTAAGGGAGAGCGCTGCAAACAAGAACGCTTCTCGGGGAGGAAGACCCCGGGTATCGGTGGGAACTACTCTCGGAGCCAGCTCATTGGCCAAGAGTGTTTAGGACTGCATTTCTGCATTTTTGGTTTCTAGTTAGGCCCCCCAGATAGGGGTTGTGTGCGTCTCTCTTCTTCATCTCATTCGCTTGTCTCACTTCCTTTCTTTCTTTCTTTCTTTCTTTCTTTCTTTCTTTCTTTCTTTCTTTCTTTCTTTCTTTCTTTCTTTCTTTCTTTCTTTCTTTCTTTCTCCACGCCCCTGCCTGCCTCCTCCCGGAGGTTTCGCTCTGACCTAGCAGATTGCAGGCGGGCGACCGAGCGGCCAACCCGACACTCGCTCTGCGGGAGCTGGGCCGCCTCCCTAGAGGAAGCCGGAGCCGGTTGCAAGCTGTCGGAGCCACGGGGCGGGGCGGGGGAGCGAGCGAAAAGAGCCGCCTCCCGACCGTCCGGAGGGGCAGCTTCTGCTCCAGACTTCTGTCCCTTCGGGGCAGGGCCCCCTCTCCCGTCTTAAGTCGCCAGGGAACCGGGGAAGGGGGGGCAGCCCTTCTCCCCCCCCCCCCCGGTGAGTGCTGCGGGGAGGGGGAGGTTCCCTGCCTTCCCTGCCCTGCGAGGCCGAAGCCCCCCCGCCTCCTTTTCCCCGCCGCAGCCGCCGGGGGTATGGGGAAGCCGCCGGCGCCGCCAAGCCCCGCCTTTGAAACTGACAAGAAGGCCTCGTCAGTTGCACGATGAAATCCCGCCGCTTCTCCCCACCGACCGGGCCGCTGGGGGTGGGGGGGTGGTCGCGCCTGTGCGTGTTCGTCTGATGTCCCCCGCCGGCTTTCCAGAACCGGTGCTAAGCGAGTCGTTTTGGCCGGAGGAAGAGCCAGGCTGGGAAGGGACCCGGGCTCCCTCCAAGCTGTCGAGTCTCCTGAGCAGAAATCGTACTTGGGGAGCCGCCGGCATGAACGCTGTGAGCGAGCCATTTGCCTGCTGCATCCGTCAGTTTGCGCCGGAGCCCTCCCTTCCTGAGCCGAGACAAAAAGGTGTGAGCCCGAGGCTAAGAAACTGTGAGCCGGCTCACCCTGGCGCAGCCTAGAGGGGACACTGGCAGGGACTTGGGCGGCGAGGGGTCCGTCGGCTGGCCTTGCCTCCTGGCGCAAGACCCTCGCGGGCGCAGGAAGCGTTTCGGGCGGCCCTGGGCGCGAAGAGTCGCCCACGAGGGGAAGGCGCCGGAGTGACCCCCCCCGTTGGTGTGGATTTCATAGGGGGGCGGGGCGGCCCGGCCTGCAGCACATTCCTCCCGCTCACTTTTCTTCGGGCACGACGCCAGTGTTCCCTCTAAGCTGAGTTCGTGTGAGCCAGCTCACAGTTTTTTAGCCTCCAGCTCACAGATTTTTGTCTCTGCTCAGGAAGGAGGGCTCCAGAGCAAACTGATTTATGCGGCAGCCAAATCGCTTACTCAGAATTTTAATGCCAGTGGCTCGCAAAGTAGAGATTTTGCTCAGAAGACTTCCCAGCTTAGAGGGAACACCACGAGCATCTCCGGCCGGGTCTTGCGTCACCCTCCCTCGAAAGTGCCTTTTTCGACCTGGGAGTTTTCTCGGGAGGGGCTGCTGCCACCCTGTGTCCAGGCACCACCCCCTATAGGGGGTGGTGGTCCAGGGCGCGTGTCCGAAGGGCCGTCAACTCCCCTGGACCCCTGATCCATCCGGGCCCATCCGGGCTTTGGGACTGGTGGCCGTCGTGGGAGTTACACGTCATGTGAGAGAGAACGGTTGTGTCGTAATCGGATCGTTGTGTCTGTATTTTTCACTCTTTTGACGGCTTGTGTAACCCGCCCGGGGCCCGCTTGCGGGGGAGGGCGGGATAGAGATGCGAGAAAATAAATAAATAAATAAGAAAATAATAATAAAACAAACCAAGTCGCTTCCTGCGTATGGCGACCAGTGTTCCCTCTAAGCTGAGTTTAGTGTGAGCGAGTTCACCGTTTCGTAGCCTCCGGCTCACACATTCTTGTCTCCGCTCAGGGAGGAGGGCTCCAGAGCAAACTGATTTATGCGGCAGCCAAATCGCTTACTCAGAATTTTAATGCCAGTGGCTCGCAAAGTAGAGATTTTGCTCAGAAGACTTCCCCGCTTAGAGGGAACACCACGAG